ATAAACTTTACATTGCCCAGGAACAGACTTTCACTGGAAGGATCCAAGATTGTTATGGGTTTTATTTGATAGCATAACTGAGAAGTTGGAACGGAAAATGCCCGCAGCAACCAATCACCGTCCTTCTCTCAACTTCTATTCGACAGTCAAAAAATGTACGGGATTGGTTGCTGACAACTTCTCTTATCAAACTTGCTAAGTTACACCTGTCATGTGAGATTAGGGAACGGTAACAGAGGCACACTGTATAGCCATCACCGACTTGACTGTGCCTGTTCAATAATTCAATAAACTACAGGAATAATTGAGAGATATCTACCTGTACTGTATATAGGCCACCTATATTCAAGGGTTCAAGAGCAGCAGGGACTAAAAATAGTGTCCAGACAGGCTTCAAATTTAGGGAGGTATCTCCAGTTATTTTGATACCCACAAAATTATTGATACCAGGCTACAATTTAAAGGGAAAGACAAAAGTGATTCAAATAGATTTCCTTGTGCTTATATATTGGAAAGTGAAGTGGTGAAATCTACAAATGGTGATGGGAGGTTTTCAGTCAAATTTTTTATTAATTGCAATAGCCGCTATGTAGTTTATCTTTTTTTTTTGCAAAAATATAAAATGCAATGCAAAACGCACTGCAGAAATGGAACAAGCACCAACTGTATAGGTGTGAACCTAGCCTCAGGAAAGCTCAGGGCTATGACCAGTTTGGGGACTGCAACCAGAGTGGGAGATGGACCATCTCAACCTGGGGTCAGGGAGCACCAGCCAGGAGATAGAGGGTCTCAAGCAGGGGGCAGAGGTGCCACAGCCAGAAGACAAGAGACAGTGGGTCTCATCGAGGGGTCAGAGGCACCCAGCCAGAAGACAGCAGGTCTCTGTTCCAGGGGTCAAGTCGGCCCCTATTGTGGGTGTCAGGAGAACCACAAGCCATAGGCCAAAGGAGGACCATGCAGCTGGGCGCTGAGACTAAAGGCTAGAGAGCCAAGCATTCAAAAAGAGCTGGACAACACAGTCAGAGGGACTGGTGAGAGAAGTAGCAGTGCTGCCAACAAGTGAGACAGGGGGCTCAGTATTTTCATTTGTGCATATTTCTGTGCAAGAAACCCCTGCGTGAACAATGGATGTGCATATCAACTTTCTGTTGAGTAAATAAAAGTGGGCTGCCATGCGCTAAAACACAGTTTTGGACTGGCACAACTCATTGTAAACACACCTACTGCTTGAGTTTAATCACCTCAATCCAACAATACATAAAGTAATATGTATATTTATTGTATAGAATTCTGTAGTTTCTGGGGGAAGGGAGCTCTGATATGCTTATTAGGTGGTCACCTGAAACAAACCAAAATAATTGTTGTGCTGTGTCTGCTTTGAGATCATTGGAAGAAATAGATTGGGGATCATGGGGCCCCTGTGTCCTTGCCCAAAGTCAAAAAAGCCTATGAAGAAGGTATCAGGGGCATCTCATGAGGCCCCCTACTGACCCCAGGCCCTTGGGCAGTGCCCGAGTTTCCAAATGGTCAGTCCGCCCCTGATGGTGGAATATAAAAATAGAAACAAGTTTGGTCAAAAAGTCTTTACTGGAAAAGATCTCCTAGGGGGCTTTTTTCCCTCTAAATTAACTGTGGGTTTATGGATCTGGGTATGCAAGGTGTTTTCTTTTTCTTCTAGAACTCCATGGACATGTTGGGAAAGGATTATGTTTTTCTGAAATCACACTGGGATTTTGTGGTCATTCCAGATGCAAATAGTGCTTAGCGGAGCTCTTCTTTAATTAGAAACAAAAGACCAGGCATCGTTTATAATCACAAAATCAGTACAAGCATTGTCAACATAAATTAGACTTGGAAATTATGAAGTTGTAATTACTCCAAAGATAATGAAATTAGTATTGACAATATCAGAGCCATTGTCGGAGGTGGACACTGAAGCTGATGATAAATTATTTTGAAAGCTGTTAGAATGTTTTGTTTCATCAACTTAGAACCGAATTCTAGGCAGATATAAAAATACGATCGTGTGTTCATTAAAAGTCATTAAATGCAGTTTTATACAGTGTTAGTGCCAAATATGGGCTTCCAGACATCTCCCCACTGCTCCCTGCACACATGGAACCATCATAGCATCTGGATTCTGTCCACTTCTCAATTAAAAGTTGGAAGGCGGAAGGAGGAGATTTTGATCCCTCTTTTGGGATCCCGTACTTGACAAGATTTTCTGAGTGACATTTTTAGTCACTACTAGAACAAGTAAATATTAGTGGTTAAACTAAGAACAAATTAATTTATAGCTCATTTAAAGTTTTTTTTTTTAAGATTAAATTAAAGATGTTCTAAATCTTTCTTTCTAAAGTAAGATTAGAAACATTTATTTTTCAATATAGTCTATTATGTTTTCCATAGAAATAGTTCCAAAACATTTCTGAAGATCTATGTACAAGCCCCAAAATTGATAAAAGGTACAATATCCAATACAAAAGTTTACAGTGAGCCTAGATTCACATTCATTTGGTGCAGTATATTGCATGTGATTCGCACAGGAAATCACATGAGATTTATGTGCGGTGCAATTGAAGCCAAACATTTTGTATGGCTCTAATCTCACCGCACCCGCACCAAAAAGGTGCAGGACCCTTTTTTGGGTCCACACTGGAATCGGATCGTATACTGTAGGTATTCACACCTATCTGATTCTGCACAACGCAATGCGTTTTGTGGACCGCTTTCAGGGTGTTGTTAACTTAACATACACACCCGCAGTGGTTCGCATGAACAGGGTGCAATTCTGATGCGGTGCGGAATTCACACAGAAAACGCTTAGAATTCCGCACTTCATCAGTGTGAACCAGGGCTAAAGGTCATTCTTGCCAACACTATGTTGAGCATTTCAAACATAAATATCACCAACATGTAGGCAGCCGTGATCTTTATTCTCCACTGTAGGTGGCGTTGGAATGCAGCAGCAATGTAGAAAGGGAGAGGAAGTGGATGGCATTTGGGTTTCTCCATGACTACCTCAGTCACATGGGACAGTGAAACAGTTGGGTGTCCTTGTCCCATGTAACCCTAGTGGCCATCTTGGGTCAAGCAGAGTCTATTTAAGACTCTGACCCCAGGTTTTGGTGCGCTGTATGCGAGTGGCTACTGTAGAGACAGGTTCCCCATCTGTCAGGGACAGCATTAGCAATAGGGAAAGTTCCACTGGAGTAGGGAGAGACAAGGGACTACGTCTGCCTTCTCAGGAAGTTTCCCCTTTGCTTTGGACTGGCCAGGCTGCACTCCGCTTGTCAGGAATGGACTGGCCAGCAATAGTGGGACTCACCTGCCTTATGAGCTGCAGTACCAGGGCTGGCCAGCGGGTGCTCCCAGCAATCAGAGACTCAACCTTGCAGCCAGTCAAACACCTGGAACTAATTATACTGGTGTATTTAAGGGATGGCCAGACCTGCAGACTCTGCCTTGGTGTGTGTTTTTTCCTGGGCCCTGTATCTTGTAAACCTGCATTCCTGTTCCTGTCTTGTTGCTGACCCTGCTTGATTCTGACCTCTGCTGACTTCTCCTGTTCTGATCCCTGGCTTGTGACCCTGACCATCCCTCTGCCTGACCCTCTGTACCACGCTGCCCGCTACCTGCTGAACCTGGCCTGTGACCCCGACCATTCTCCGCTTGCTTCCCCTGTACCTACCTGCCCGATTGATACTGACCCGGCCTGCCTGACGACGCTTGCATTGTATGTACTGTTATCTGTGGGTGGTTGGTTTGGTTTGTTTGCACTGTGTTATGTTTTAATATTGCACTGCGTTTATGTTTGTATTGTTAGTGTTAATAAATTATATTGTTTATAACATATCTGAAGTCTCTGCGTTTCCCTGCGTCAGTCACACACCTCTGGTCATACCCCGGGAGCCCTGACATTACACCAAGGCCACTCCTGACCAGAAGTGGCTGCACAGGGAAGCCATCTTGGCTTGTTGATGGGAAGGATGGATCTTGATGAGGTTGTGTATTTATATCTGCTAGTGTTTGATGACAGAGAGTATGCTTATCAAACTCTGAAGGAGTATCCCCGGGATGAACTGCTAGAACGTATACGGCTCGCTCATGTTCTAGTAGATCAGGGCACAGAATTTTCTGAGGTGCAGCCATTGATTGAGGTTTGTGCTGAGTTGGTTTCATCTGGTACCCCCGAATGCAGGGATGAATTTTTGCCGCCATTTAGTGCTGACCAGGTAGAGTCCCTGGTGTGGTTATTAGAGGATGATGTGGATTGCTTCTTGGAGCATTATGCTGCATGTTCACCACAGACACTAAGAGATTGTATAAACGCAGTGCAGTCTTTGGTCAGACAGGCTTTGTGTAAGCTCAGCTTTGTTCAACCCATACTGCAGACATGGACAGACTTGTTGCACCCAGCCTCAGTCAGCTTACAAAAACCCAGTCCTGCTTCTAATCTATTTCCTCAAAGCTCTATTCCTGCATTCCCAACAGCTCCTCCTGCCCTGCTATCTACCGCATGTCAGTACCCTGTTCCCACTCGCTGCACCTATCCTGCCTTTAACCCTGTAAAAAAGCCCTCTGTAGCAACTGCTCCCTCCTCTGTTCCATCCTCCAGCTCTTCTCTGTCTCCAGCTGCTCCATTCGTTTGCAGACCTGCGTTTACTTGCAGTGCTCCAGTAGTTAAAACCAGAAAAAAGCGAAAATTCTTTCCAACCAGTACCATCCTGCCAGTATCCAAACCGGTGAGCCTGCCGTCTGAGAACCTGCCTTCCGTGGTTCAGCCTGATGCCTCTCTTCAGCCTGATGCCTCTCTTCAGCCTGATGCCTCTACTCAGCCTGAAGCCTCTACTCAGCCTGAAGCCTCTACTCAGCCTGAAGCCTCTACTCAACCTGATGCCTACTACTCAGCCGGAAGCCTCTACTCAGCCGGAAGCCTCTACTCAGCCGGATGCCTCTACCCAGCATAATGAACTGATCCAGCCTGATGATCCTATTAGGCCAGTTGACTCGATGCCCGCTGTTGATCCAGATGATCCGGTACCTGATCCGGTGCCCGCTGTCGTTCCAATTGACTCAGAGCCCGCTGTTGTACCTGGTGACTCGGTGCCCACTGCCTTGCCAGATGACGCGGTGCCCGCTGGCGAGCCAAATGACCTGATGCCTGGTGACCCAGTGCCCGCTGTCATACCTGGTGACCCGATGCCCGCTGTCGAGCCAGACGATCCAATGCCAGACGACTCGGTGCCCGCAGTCTTGCCAGACGACTCGGTGCCCGCAGTCTTGCCAGACAACTCGGTGCCCGCAGTCTTGCCAGACGACTCGGTGCCCGCAGTCTTGCCAGACGACTCGGTGGCCGCTGTTCCGCCAGTTGACTCGATGCCCGCTGTTCTGCCAGACGACTCGGTGCCCGCAGTCTTGCCAGACGACTCGGTGCCCGCAGTCTTGCCAGACGACTCGAAGCCCGCTGTTCCGCCAGTTGACTCGATGCCCGCTGTTCCGCCAGTTGACTCGGTGCCCGCAGTCTTGCCAGACGACTCGAAGCCCGCTGTTCCGCCAGTTGGCTCGGTGCCCGCAGTCTTGCCAGTTGACTCGGTGCCCGCAGTCTTGCCGGTTGACTCGGAGCCCACTGTCGTGTCTGGTGACTCGGTGCCCGCCGCTCCGCCTGGGGGCCCGAGACCTGTCGGTCCGCCTGGGTGTCCGGCGCCCACCACTCCGCCTGGGGGTCCGCGCTCCGCCTGGGGGCCCGAGACCTGTCGCTCCGCCTGGGGGTCCGGCGCCCGCCGCTCCGCCTGGGGGCCCGAGACCTGTCGCTCCGCCTGGGGGTCCGGGCGCCCGCCGCTCCGCCTGGGGGCCTGAGACCTGTCGCTCCGCCTGGGGGTCCGGCGCCCGCCGCTCCACCTGGGGGCCCGATGCCTGTCGCCCCTCCTGGGGGCCTGGCGCCCGCAGCTCCGCTTGGGGGCCCGATGCCTGTCGCCCCGCCTGGGGGCCCGGTGCCTGTCGCCCCGCCTGGGGGCCCGATGCCTGTCGCCTAGCCTGGGGGCCCGATGCCTGTCGCCCCGCCTGGGGGCCCGGTGCCTGCTGCTCCGCCCGGTGACCCGCTGCCTGCTGCTCCGCCCGGTGGCCTGATGTGCCTCTGCCCGGAGTCCAGCCCGATGTGCCTCTGCCCGGAGTCCAGCCCGATGTGCCTCTGCCCGGAGTCCAGCCTGATGTGCCTCTGCTCAGAGTCCAGCCCGATGTGCCTCTGCCCGGAGTCCAGCCCGATGTGTCTCTGCCTGGAGTCCAGCCCGATGTGCCTCTGCCCGGAGTCCAGCCCGATGTGCCTCTGCCCGGAGTCCAGCCCGATGTGCATCTGCCCGGAGTCCAGCCCGATGTTCCTCTGCCCGGAGTCCAGCCCGATGTGCCTCTGCCCGGAGTCCAGCCCGATGTGCCTCTGCCCGGTGTGCCTCTGCCCGGTGTGCCGCTGCCCGGAGTCCTGCCCGGTGTGCCGCTGCCCGGAGTCCTGCCCGGTGTGCCAGTCTTTGATATCCCGCCAGTTACCAGACCCGGGCGGTGGAACATTTTGCCCAGCTAGGACTGTTTGGAACGTCCTGAGGCCGCTCCTTGAGGGGGGGGGGTACTGTCAGGAATGGACTGGCCAGCAATAGTGGGACTCACCTGCCTTATGAGCTGCAGTACCAGGGCTGGCCAGCAGGTGCTCCCAGCAATCAGAGACTCAACCTTGCAGCCAGTCAAACACCTGGAACTAATTATACTGGTGTATTTAAGGGATGGCCAGACCTGCAGACTCTGCCTTGGTGTGTGTTTTTCCTGGGCCCTGTATCTTGTAAACCTGCGTTCCTGTTCCTGTCTTGTTGCTGACCCTGCTTGATTCTGACCTCTGCTGACTTCTCCTGTTCTGATCCCTGGCTTGTGACCCTGACCATCCCTCTGCCTGACCCTCTGTACCACGCTGCCCGCTACCTGCTGAACCTGGCCTGTGACCCCGACCATTCTCCGCTTGCTTCCCCTGTACCTACCTGCCCGATTGATATTGACCCGGCCTGCCTGACGACACTTGCATTGTATGTACTGTTATCTGTGGGTGGTTGGTCTGGTTTGTTTGCACTGTGTTATGTTTTAGTATTGCACTGCGTTTATGTTTGTATTGTTAGTGTTAATAAATTATATTGTTTATAACATATCTGAAGTCTGCGTTTCCCTGCGTCAGTCACATACCTCTGGTCACACCCGGGAGCCCTGACACCGCTCCTCGTGGCAGATGCTGTGAGCAGTGCTGTGTCTACATATCACTACTGTCTCTACGCTGCACTGTTCTATGTGATCCCAGTCTTCCCACCGGGCTTGGTTGTAATGTTGACTATTTTACAATTCATCGTCTTTGCCAAATCTGGACTGTGTGCTTACTGCCTGCAACACCACATGGCACCTACTCAACAAACAGGTAAAACCCCTTTCAAGTTTTTATTGTTCTCTGTAATTCACCCTTTCTGTTTGTCCTAATTTCCTGTGTCACCTTGAACAAAAAGTGATTCACATTCAGAAAACTTTATTATTCCCAAAGGGAAATTATTAAGATATAGTTGCATTTAACAAAGACAACACACAGTGAACTGGTTAGTATTTAAAAAAAAAACTAAAATTTCAGTAGTTCAAAAAGGATTTGACACCAACCTACCTATATTCATGGGATGTGAATAGGTGAGCCCCCTAACCTTGCCCTGTATTTTGGTACTGCGTCTGCTGGCAATTTTGGTATCAGAAACTAAATGTTAGGACTGGGATCTGAACCCACAACTCTCTTCTTTCTGAGCACCTGGGATACAGGACAGCATCCTGTCTCATTCTTTGGATAATTTTGCCTTGTTCCTTGTTTCCGGTGAACTCCTTGCTCCTTCCATGAACTTCCTATTTAAGCCATGCGTTTGCCCTTCTTGTTTGCTGGATTATTGTGCTCTCTCCAACAAGTATCTTGCTCCTTTGCATACCTGCAGCTGTCCTTATCTCCACTACAACTCATAACCGACCTTTGACCTTTTCCTCGATTATGCTTCTGCTTGATCCCAACCTGTAACCAGTTGTTATTGACCTTTGGCTTGTTCTTCAGCTACATTTACGCTTGATCCCAACGTGCAACCACTTGTTAACAACCTTTGGCTTGTTTACTGACCACTCCTCTGCTTGATCTCTACCTGCTATATTTGGTACTGGACCTTGGCTTACACATCTCCTGGTGGGGTGATCCTGAGGACTGCGACCTGGCACTAACACGCAACAAAATCCATCTTTACCATCAGGAGCTCTGGGGAATGCTGGTTAATACTTCCACCCTGCAGCCAGGGGCGGACTGACAAATCATGGGCCCCCCGGGCAATATGGGCAACTCTGTCCTCACCCACACCCAAACCACACCCAAAAAAGCCCATGAAAGGTACTAGGGTCATCTCATGGGGCCCCCTACTGACCCTGGGCCCTCGGGCAGTGCCAGAGTGCCCAAATGGTCAGTCCTCCCCTGCCCACAGCTCAGGTGAACCTGTGTCATCTGCCGAGGTCTGCGTATACAGCTGGTTGGTGGGAGCCTATCTGCAGCTATAGCTACTGATCTCTGAACCTGCCCCCTGACCATGACACTACAGTTTTGGGAGGGGTATACAACTTCTTTTTTTTTTTGGTGGGGGGACAGGGTTTTTAGACCCTCCCCCTTTACCTCTGGTTCACATCTGTGTGGGTGGTGCCACACAAAAATCCGTGCAGCCGCACCACCCGCACAGAGAAATGCGGACCTGTGGGCAGGTGCCATTCATTTTAATGGCACGTCGCCCACACTGGCAATTGCAACTGTACTGGGAACCAAGGTTCCCGTGTAGGCTGCGTTTTCTGAAGAAGTGCGGGGACTTCTTTCCTGCGTGTCCCAGGGCATGGGAGTCCATTCAAAAGAATGGGCCCTTGTGCCCATGCAAAACGCGGCCCACAGGAATGCAGAGATGTGAACCTAGCCTAAATTTGAAAAGCATGTAGGCTGGTAGCATGATAAGGTGCCACAGACTTGCAATCTCCCTGTCATGGGGATATCAGCCCATGCCTGGCATAACACTATTTGGGGACATACATTTTTTACTTTGGATATTTTAAGTAAAACTAAGAAGACAAAATGTGTTAAATTCAGTGATTGAGCTGCTATATGCAAAACACATTTTAGCACTATAAAGAGCATTGACTGGCACATTCTCTGACCAGGTAGAAAAACAAAACTAGAAATGTGACATGTGCTAGCCATTTGCTGGCTGTTCTATTCACCTTCATCCTATTAAAAAAAAACAGTGATTCGAGAATGTCTAGCAAACATTCATCTAGAAAACAAAATAAATAATTCACCAGTGAATGCATCACTAAGTAAATTTTCATGCCTTAATAGCTTAAGAAAAAATTCTAGGAATTAAAACTTTTTCTCTCCTTGACAATTCAAGGGTTATTATCACATCTGATAATAGCACTTGAAATCACACTTTGTCATGTGTTATGTGACACTACAACCTGATACATTGGGCTCCTGGAATAAAATCTCAAAGGTAAAAGCAAAAAAAACCCTAGGATTCACATCCACAGAGATATCTACAACTGTTTCCCAGCAGATATTGCTTTCCCTTACGATCCTGAGCTTGTATAGTCAACTGATCAATACAATTTGTAAAAAAAAAAAGTTTAAAATGATTTACTTTTTTGTAATAGTTGTATAGGAAAACAAAGTACTTGAACACTGTGAACAACCGAGGCATAGGCATTTATTTTCAGCTGGTTAAAGCACACCTAAATTAAAAATACAAGGGATTATTTGGAAGTATTAAACAAAAATGGCAAAACTTTATTTTCTTTTTTTAGTTTTGGGTAGAGTGGAGAAGTATACAAACACCTGTCAAGTTTTTTTTTGCTGCCTGTGTCCTCTTTAAGGAGATTCACCCTCTCGATTGCTACTGTTTACCGTTATCATGGAAAGTGAAAGCTATAGAAAATCTTGCATTTTGGGTTGTCCCCACTACAGTAATAGAGGGGAAATCTTCCAATGGAGACACTAGTTCTTGTGACCCTGGTGACAACCAGGGATTTCCTCTCACTTCCTGTTTTGGCTATTAGACAGGAAGTGAAGAAAAATATCCCTAATGGGACAATGACTGCAGAAAAACCCTGGCAGGAGTTATAACCCTCCCTTATTCTCTGCAAAATGAAAAAAAATGCCTTTAGTTCTACTTTAATTATGCCAAAGCAGTACTCAGAAAATGTACCATTTCAATTTCTCCTGAAAAGTTGCCTAAGCTCTCCTGTCTGCAGCTTCATAGCTGTATATCTGCAGAGTGAGATCTAAGGGCACTGCTGCCTCTGACAGTCTCAGAAAATTTGAAGTGATATTTGCTGATGTCATTATTGTGCTGCTCACTGTTCTTATTGGTGGAGGGTATGACATGAGGAAGCACAGCCCTGCCTCTACCAAGATGGATGACTTTTTTGGGTGCAGCTTTCAAAGTTCAGTTCCTCTTTAAAATGAATATTTTTGTATACATCACATACAAAAATGATAAAACATATTATCATTAGGAAGTGATTATTACTAAAACTGTCCCTAAAATTCACACTTAAGAGAAGCTGACAGATATTAACCACTTGCCTGCCTTCCACGATACACCCTTCTGGCCCAAACCAATTTTTAGCTTTCAGCTGTCACTCAACACTGTATCCATATGAAATTTTCCACACAAATAGAGCTTTCTTTTGGTGCTATTTAATCACCACTGGGTTTTTTATTTTTTGCACTATAACCAAAAAAAGGCTGAAAAAAAGTTTTTTTTTGTCTCTATTATAAAATATTGCAAACAGGCAATTTTTCTCCTTCACTGATGAGGCTGCACTGAGAGGCAGCACTGATGGGCACTGATAGGCAGCAATGATAAGGTGGCACTGATGAGGCGGCACTGGTGGGCATTGATGAGGAGGCATTGATGATGCTGCACTGATATGTGGCACTGATAGGAAGCAATTATGGGCACTGCTAGGTGGCACTGCTAGGCACTAATTAACAGCACTGAAGGGCACTAACTGATGCCACTGACTGGAGGCACTGATGGGCACAAATTGGCAGCACTGATGGGCACAGATTAGCAGCACTGTTGGGCGCTGATGGGCAGCACTTTTGGGGCTGCACTGATAATCAGGGCATTGATTATCAATGAACATAAATCCTTTCAC